AAAGTAAAGGTATAAACCCTTCCTGGACCAAACTTGCAAGGATGATACTTATCTTAGGATACACACCAATGGAACTGCTTCGGCTGCTGGATCTGGCATACATTTGATAGATAATGAACCATGTTAAAGTTACGGTTGCAGATATATTACCAAGAAAACATTACGCCTACTTGAAGCAACATTGTATGGGTTTTGCATCAAGAGATGAACACTCACAAATTGCAGATTTGATATCAGATCAAAATTGCATAAATTTTGCATTTTGGATGTAAACTTCGAAATTGTAAGCTTATGTAGGACTCTACCTTACTTACAGACAACATTCGTTGAGGTGAGCTCTGTAATCTCTGATTGTCTATGTTTCATTATGGCGATAGCTTTGGTATGTCTTGAACACTTGAACCTATGAAATTGTCTTCATTCTGCATATAATATGTATAATAAAAAATATTTCAAGTATAATTTATTTTTGAAAATAAATTAAAAAAACACAACAAAACAAGCTTGATAAACATCTAGTCATACAAGCATAGTCCAAGTACTGGTGACATGTTTACAATTATTACACATGCATAATACTGCACAAATAAAAACACACATTTGTATTTATTTTCCTGGAGTTGCACTAATCTCTATCTATAAAATCCGAATGTGTGTGGCTTCCACTCTCATATTTTCGGGAAGTTCGTTCGTTCTTTCTTCGTTCTCTTTCCCGCTCAATAGCCTCGTGATAATAGCCGTAATATTTCCCTCGGTTAGCTCTTTCTAGTGGAGGCATGCTGAATAAATCCTGAGTGTATCCGAATAGGCTACATTCGGGTATTCCAGTTTGTTATACACCTATGTCTTTGTGGTAGTAACCTTAAATAAAAAAGCAAATTGTGGCCATGGCGATACTTTTGGCTAATCATAGCAATTCATTTTCTATTACGAAAATAGTAAATCTCGGAACCTTGGCCAAACCCAAGACCCATCTTTATAACGCTGTAAGTATTTTTGTTTAATTAGCAAACTGATAAAAACAATTGCATAGTTAACGGTGAATACAAAGCTGGGAAAAAAATAATGAAAGAGCCAGAAAAGTACGAGAGCATAACCGATCGAGTTAACGGTTTCATTTTCCCTTTCCTTTGATTTCTTTTTCCCTTACGTTTCCATTTAATTTCAACAAAAAAACAACAACACTGCGCTTATGTAATTTAGCTCCTTGCAGCTTTATTGCCAGTATAATAATCCCTACACCCCAAAATACAAAATTAACAGAGGGCTTGTCCCATTGTCTCATGAAGTCAACCTATTAGTCCTCTCTCTGCATCTCCTTGGCGTCACGTTTTGTGTCTCTAGGTAACGATCAGTACTGGTGTTGCTCTTTCAAGGTCCTATCTGACGGCATGTAGTGGGAGAGGTCTCTCAAGATAAGTGACATTTTATCTCCTGTGAGGCAATTCTTGGTGGGGATAGGGTTGTGGGGCCCTCGGTCAAGCTGCCTGGTACCACTTCGTATTCCGTACACTATAACAGTATTTAACGTCGATTTGAACTAAAAAACTGAAAAAGGGCAGCTATGAATGATAAAAATTTAAAATTATTTCTAGGCAGTGCACAATCTAGTAAAGTATTCATTTTAATAAGAGATAGAGATAAACAATATAATAACAAATCAGTAGTTTAAACATATGGTCTCTGTTCCATACATTTATTATAAAGAAGCTGGAAAATCACAAAAGTTCGTACACAAGTATGAAGACTCAATCAAATGACTTTCCTGGGTGCGTATAACCAGTATGTTTATAGATGGATGTTTGACTGTTGTTATACTTTTGTTTACAATAATTAACTTCCGCGAACATACGAAGTGATTATTTATGTTATAATATTTTGAGGCGAAATAAAACATGGTTTGTCATAACGTGCAAATCATGAATGTGTGATGTAATTATTAAAGGAAGTTTATTAAGTGTTTGTGTAGCAGTGTGAATCATCATTGTATTTGTTAAGCAAGAACTGTTGTCATCCATGCATCATCCATGCAAGTTTGGTCTGGGTAGGGCTTATAATTCCTTGGTAATGGACCTGCTCCAAAAACTTTAACCTGCTCCAAAAACTTTAACCTGGTCCCTCATCTGGAAAATGAAGGTCAGATCCAGCATCCGAAGCAAGTCTTGTATTGTACATCCCTAGATGCATCAACCAGGCAATTTTGGTTCAGGTAGGGCTTATAGTTACTTGGGAATGGACTTGCTCCTAAAACTTGAACCTTGGACGCCGACGCCGACGCCAATGCCGGGGGTATAGCATAAGCTCTACTCGACTTCGTCGAGGTGAGCTAAAAAGGATAACGCTTAAAGGTTTTAACGAATTGTACTGTAGTATTAATTATTTTTAAAGATACTCCTTTCACAAAAGATTATTAGTTATATTGAGCAGTCACAGTTATTAAGTAGTTCAGTTATCTCGAATAGCGTTAGTATAATAAGGAATCCACATTAGTGAACGAAAGTGACTGGTATAACTAAAAGTGAACTCTTCCGTCAACCGCGACCTCTTTATATGGTTAAAGAGTTTTTCAATTGAAAATCAAACAGCTCACAATCAATCGATTATGTTTAATCTTAATCGAAATAAAATTCCTTGTTTCGAAGGCCAAGACCAATTCGTCAACGCACCTTAATTGGCCTTTCCGACTAGCCGAAAAACTAACACAAAATTATTACATATAGACACCGTTACAACCCCCCCCCTTTCTCAACCTTTAAATAAATGTGGGAATACATGTATATCTTATCTGTAGATAATGGAGTTAAACTTTCTATAATTGAATGTAAAGATAGACCTTAAGTACACAAAAAAGAAACTTTTAGATTCGCCTGTCATATTTTTAATAAACAGGAAGATGTATACAAGTGAATTGTAGACCTTAAGTACACAAAAAAGAAACTTTTAGATCCGCCTGTCATACGTTTTAATAAACAGGAAGATGTATACAAGTGAATCTTTAACATCCGATGACATCCAAACACATTTGAGGTTATTTTTCCGACCTTCGACGGAAAGACCCAAGGTGATGCGATTGGATCAACAGGCGGAACGTTGAATGGATCAAGGGATAAAACAGAATAATAATAATAAGGATATTGATTCAAGCAATATTATCGTGAAAGTTACATGTATTGAGAATTTTGTAAACAAAGTAAGAATTACTTCGACATTATTGGTGCTTGATTTGTTTACAGTAGACATGAGTAGCATTAACAAGGAAAATAATTTCACTCGATTCTTGTAAAATTGACCATACCGATGTACATATAAATATTTTGATTTAAAATTCAAGTATTTCTTTTTGAAAAATGTAAGCATTCGTTATAAGAGCATTTTGATTTAATAAAAGAAGCTATTTTAATATGCTCACACAAAAACATAAGTCTTAATAGCATGAACAAGGAAAGTAACAAACAGGGATGTTTAAGGCACGCCAACTTCACAAATATGAGATAATCATAGTTTCACAATCGATAAACTAGGTTTATTGGTTGTAAACTATTGTTTACGGACTGTAAACTATAGTTCACAACGTTAATCTATATTTCACATCTGTAAACCATAGTAAACGCGATAATCTGTGTTTCACAACCGTAAACTATACTTAACACCGAAAGAAATCATTTGCGATTCCAAAACATAGATTATATGATAAATACAGTTTCACGATTTGTAAACTATAGTTTACAAACCGTTAACTATAGTTAACGATCTGATAAATATAGTTTCACGATTTGTGAAACTATGATTAACAACTCTTAACTTTAGTTTACGATTGTAAACTATAGTTTACAAACGTGAATCTATGTTTATCCACAAAATCTATTGTTAACGCTTTATTCAGACAGATAAACTTAGATTAGCATTCGTAAACTATTGTTAACGATCGTTAAATATAGATTTACAAATGAAAACTATATATAACGAATCGTTAACTATACTTAACGAGTCGTTAACTATAGATTACGGCTTGTAAACTAAAGTTTACGTTCGATAAACCTAGTTTATCAATTGTGAAACTAGGTTTATCTCATTTTTATGAATTTGGCGTGCCATACATATTGCCAATGAGAAGTTACGTCATTTTATATTTCATGAATATATGTGTATGTATATTAAAAGTTTCAAGTCAACATACCTTTTTTATTTTAAAAATGATACTTGGAATGTCATATCACCCTTTGTCTTATGCATCGGGTGAACTCCAGATCTTTCATGTCACCATGGAGCAAATATTCCGATATGTGACCGTCTAAGCCTTGCGATATATGCAAACAGTCCAGAGTTTTCCTGTCAATTTGGGGCAAATATCTCGGTTAACTTGGAAGCCATGTGATATTGTTATGCATAATGTCGTGATTCACAAACATGTCTACATGCCTCACCTAACCACGCTTATTCGTTTTATTAAATAAGCATAGTTTTTGAAGTTGGTCACATGTCACGATAAGCGTTTGCACAATAAAGAAACGAAAGTGTCTAGCATAACTCTATACGTCCTCCTACGGCAACCTTGACATCTTTTATGATTAAACAATTTTCAAATGGAAAATCAAAATGAACACAATCAATCAATTATACATAAAAATCTGAATCGAAATACGAAATAAAATCCATTGTTTCAAAGATAGACCAATGCACAAACGCAACTTATCGATCCTTTTCGAATAGTGGAAAAACCACCTCGAATATCTTACGTAAACGCCATTACAACCTCCTTTTCTCAAACTTAATATAAATGTGGGATTACATACATATTATTTGTAGATAATGGAGTTTAACTTAAATTAAATGTAAAGATATGACCTAAAATACACAATAGAAGAAACTTTTAAATCCGTCTTTCATATGTTTTAATAAACAGGAAGATGTATACTAGTAAATCTTTAACATCCGATGATGTAAATACATTTGAAGTTGTTTTTCCGACTTTTGACGGAAAGACACGAGATGATGCGATTGGACTAACAGGCACACGTTGGATAGATCGAGGAAAGAAATAAAATAGATAGATGAAAATATAACTATTGAATCACTATAGAAACAATGTTATAATAGGAACTACATGTTTTGAGAGATATGGACACAAAGTACACTCTGTAGGTAACTATTATTTTGTCATTATTCGTGTTTGATGTGTTTATAATAGACACGAGCAGCATGAACAAGGAAGATAATTTATCTTGATTGTTGTAAAATTGACTATACTGGTGAACATATACATTTATTGATTTAATTCATTTAGCCCTTTTTGAAAAATGTAAGTAAGTATTTCGTATAAGAGCATTTTGATTTGATAAAAGAAGTTGTTCTAATTTGCACACACAATAACATTAATTTGAGTAGCATGAACAAGGAAATTAACAAACAAGGAAGTCCCCAATTAGAGGTCACGTCATTATTTTACATTTCATGAATATGTATATTGAAAACATTCAATTCGACAGTTATTTTGTTTTTTTACTTTAAAAATGGTCCTTGGGAACAACATTGATTGATATATTTCAAAAATGCCGACATGGTTTCTCAATTTACGAATTGTTTTCCCCATTTCCGGCTGAAATGAACTTACGGTTTTGTAATATTTTAGGATCGTCTCAGAACACTAGATTTAAATACAGGAAAAAGTCACTGAAAACATCAACGACCAATTGACGTGTCAGTCAAAAAACAAGGGAATAAAATTTTACATTAAAATGTATAAGAACAATCTTTGAAAATCAACTTTAAAGGACCCACTGGACTAGTGAAGCTGAACATAATGTGGAAGCATGCTGGGGTAGTGTAAATTCTAATTCTGCAACCCATAAACACCAGGAATAAGCCTGGAACTAAACTGGAATATATAGAGGAAAATGTTATATGGGTACATTCTTGAGTAGTGTACTATATTCTAAATTGTTTAAATCATGACCACTGGTGGGTAGGGCAGGGTCACAAAAGTGAATCCAAGTTATACATTAAAATATTTAGAAAACAGTCTTTGAAAAATTTGTAATTGTAATCTATAATTTGAAAAGTTTTTTTTCGATATTGACAGCTACCACAGAATGTGATGTCAACGTTTTAAAGAATTGCGAAAATAATTTTTACGATCATAAACAGGTTTACATTTTTCTTTATATAAGGAGAAGATAACGACTTACATTTAGAATTTAAAATATCAGTTATACAGGCTTATTACAGGCAATTACATTCATATATCTCTATCTAACAAAGAAAGCATTGTTCTAAGTTTGTTTTACAGAAAAAGATACTAAATTTATTTTATTTATTTTAGCTTCTTTTGACAGATTTCCAATGATATGCTGTAAATGATGAAGAAAATGATGAAATTGTTAATCTACAGGTTTCTGAATATTCTTCAGAATAAACAGGGAATTGATTATCAAAGGATTTTAAAATTAGTATAAGAAGATATGACTATACATGTTTTTAGGAAGAAGAAAAATACATGTATTAAATAATTGTGTTATAGCTTGAAAGTTATTGATGCTTAATATTTGATCAGTCATGGCCTAGAAGGATAGTTACATTAGTATGGAACACTAAAAGGGCCCCGATGTTAAACACTCCAATTTTTTACGAATACTTACATTAAATGTTCTTTGGGAAAATGAAAACCTTTAAATATTCTGAATCCAATGTTGAAAAGTATAATAAATAATTTATGCCATTTACAGGTTTTTGACAGTCCAGATGTAGTACTTTAGAGCGTAGATTTGGAAAGACTAGGACATCCTACGTTTACCGGTTTATTTACCTGGTAAGTTAAATCTTACTCGAGCCGAAGGCTTACTGAGTTTTTTTATCGACATTTGTCTGATTTTTCTCAATTTGGTCTTCTTTTCCAATCCACTGGACAAACTACAATCAAAGCATGGAACAATTCACCCCTGGGTGAGGGGTAATCAAATTCACTTGGAGGGCTATATCCTCATTGAATGGGAGAAACTTCAGGAGAAGTGAAAAATGAGGGATAATTAATGGCATTTTTTAAAAAATCTTCTTCTTAAGAATAATTGGGCCAGCAAAGATAAAACTTGTTTGGAATCATCCTTGAGTTGTAAAGATTCAAATTTAATTAAATCATAACCACTAATAGGAAGGATGGGGTTACAATAGACGAGCAAAGTTTTACATAGAAATGTATAGGAAAACTCTTTGAATATTTTAAGAACAACAAGGCCATACATGGTCATATTGATACACATATAGAAGCTTCCTTAGATTATTTGGATTCAAAATTGTTCCAATCATATCCTCAGGTTTTGGTTGTTGCCACAATGGATCAACATGTTTTCTATATAAATGCATTAGTAAAATTCATAAGAACAGCAAAGCCATGATTAATGTCACAATTTGTGATAAATGGCATGGAAATAAATCCTTGCTGCAACCAATCTTTGAAAAAGAACAAAGAGTACGTGCAAACAAAAGTTCGTTAAAGTGCTCAAAACAATATATACACACTCCGAACACGCACACACACACAACACTCACACAAAACCCAAAAAGAACCTAAACAAAAAAAATAATAATAAACAAAAAAAATAATAAATGTGTCTATACACCGACTAAAATATTGTCAAACCCGACCAGACGAATGTTTCCTTGACACCTACACAAAACCGTCGATCTTGCTACAAATGTGACCCCAAGACGTTACCGTATTGTTCGTTCTGTTCGCATATACACACACTGACACAGTCGTTGGTTTATGTTATCGTTGTTACACAGTCCACATCGTCCGTCAACGTCTTAGTACGTAGGATTTCCTCCAACGCTGTAGTAACATCATCCTATAACGTCACACGTACGTTACTTGTATACACAGCTGATCAAGCTGGTCGCCTATAATAACACATTATTTCAAAGTCTGGGTTTCCATAGTCGGTAATAACGCATCAATAAGAAATATTTACATATGTCGGGTATATAATCTATCACAAATTAAACTGAACAAAATAATAACTTTAGGAAAACGCAGTACAGTTAAGGCAACACATGAAAAAAATATGGTAATGAAGTACATAATGAGGTCTGACGTCATGACAGTTGCTCCGCCCTGATTAATCCTTATAAGGAAATAGAGCTCAAAATAACTATTTACCGATATTTGCAAGAATTTGTAGCAAACGTCAATATATTCATGTGGAAATAAATAATTATTAGTGATTTTCCCTTACATAGAATAGCATTTCTTTAAAAATAATTCACTTTTTATGTGCCGCTTGGCTGCATTCGGCTTCAGCCAAACGCTTGCACTCGATGACACGGAGTGTTTGTTTACATCTACAAACGTGGCGACATCAGCTGAGATAAACTTCGCTAGCCAAGGGTTTCCGATCCGATACCTACTCTACAAAAGTAGAGTAGGTATCGGATCGGAAACCCTTGGCTAGCGAAGATGCAGCTGAGATATGCAGTGGATTTTAATGCAATAACCCGAGAATCTTTAAAGAAAATAGGGATACGATAAGAGACAAGTCATTGTTTATCCCTATTACGAGAATATGAGGACATTATTTCGAAAGATTATGGAAAACAGAGACGATCAGAATCAGCTCTCTAGATCCATCACTGCAGTATCGTCGATACATTTAGCCCAGGTATGTATGCACTTAACATCATAGAAAAAAACGATAGCGAGTGTGTACATGTTCATTTAGATGTGTTATCGCAGTCAGTGAAAAACTAATGCAGTGTATTGCGATTGTATGTATACTATAACCCCCCACCCCCACCCCCGCCCCCCAGTGCCTTGTGATTGGTGTTTGCTTTATGCTTCCCCCAATCCCAACATATCCATACAAAGTTGCACACTTTTTGTTTAAATAAAATTTTTAATGTAATTGTACTGTAAATATGTGGTACAGATTTCTTGACAATTCTCTCATTTTCTTTGAGACATTATGTGTAGTAGTGGGGATCAACTGTGACAACAGTAATACAAATTTACACTAAATTAAATTTGAAATTTCATTGTTTTAGTCTATGAGTTGATAATGATTTACTAAACATGTTATGTTGTTGTCTTTCTGACAGTATACAAACATGCTACATAATTTATAATTATAAAAAATTGTACACTACCTGAGGATGTTTCCCCATATGTTTCATATTTCCTAGCTGGCACACTGGTTCTTGAGAAGATTTTTCAAACATGCCACCAAATTTCCATCATTATGTTAAAAACATAGAATCTACAGTTAAGATCTATCATCTATGGTTGTATAGTTATAGAATTTCTAAATTAATTGGGGAAATAAAATATTTTTTTAGTTTGATTATATGTCAAGTCAATTAAATTCTGTAATTCATACATGTACATTATTTATATATATATATACATGTGTATAGGAAACATCATTGAAAATCTTCTTCTCAAGAACCACTGGGCCAGAAAAGCTGAAACTCATGTGGAAGCAATGTGGGGTCGTGTAGATTCTAAATTGTTCTTATCATGACCCCCGGGGGTGGGACGGGGCCATAATGGGGAATCAAAGTTTTACAATGTTGAATCAAAGCATCCTACGGTAGTGTAGATTACAAATTGTTTAAATTGTGATCAGTTGGGTAGGGTGGGGTCACAATATGTACTACAAGGGGGAATTCTGGTATAGGACGGAATGTTCAAAGCTTCTCAGGTGAGCGATGTGGCCTACAGGCCTCTTGTTAATTTTTTTTAATAAAAAATTATTTATGAAAATAAAACACATAATTTGTGGTTAAAATCTTCTAAATACCAGCCACAACTGGGGGGAACATGTTCATTAATCATATTTATAAAAGAAACTGAAACGAAATGGCCAAATTTTAGAGAAAATTGATTTCTTTTTAATTTTGGCCAATCCCGATCAAAATTAAACCCATTCCGACCATAATTGTACAATTATTGGAATTAAATATCATTTTCCTAAGAACACTAGTCTGATTAGGTGTTATAAGGGTTAAAACATTACAGAACTTGACAATAAAATATATTTCTTCATTATAGATACATGAAGAGGCAATAAATTAGCATTTTATTCATTTTGTGTTAATTTTGATCGGGATCAGTTTAATCGGGTTAGGTCCAAATATTAAAAAAATAAATTTCTTTTAAATTTCTGAATTTCTTTTCAATTTCTTTTAAAAATAACCCCGTGGGGATCCGGGTTAGAATAGGTGCTCAGTAACATCTTGCTTATAAAAGGCGACTAAATGGGGCGGTCCTTTGGATGAGACCGTATAAACCGAGGCCCCATGTCACAGCAGGTGTGGCACGATAAAGATCCCTCCCTGCTAAATGGCCCTGAGTGCCGAGCATAGGCCTAAATTTGCAGCCCTTCAACGGCAATGGTGACGTCTCCATATCAGTGAAATATTCTGGAGAGGGACGTTAAACAGTATACAATCAATCAATCTTTTAAAAATATGATTGACAAACATGTTCTCCTTAGTTGTGACTAGTTTTATGGTGTTTTTAACCATAGGTTTAAAAAAAATATTCACAAATAATGTGTTTCATTTTCATAAATAGTTTTTTATAAAAAAAAAATTAAAAAGTCTAACCAGACTTTCTTTACATATTTTATTAGGTATTCATGTGATGCATTCATTTACATCAAAATGTTAACAAGAAAGCATCTAATTTGGATGTAAATAATTTTTTATTCATTTTCCCTTGAAAAAATACAGAAAAATTCATATAAACTAATTCCATATGAATTTCATCTTTCCTGGCCCAGTGGTTCTGGAGAAGATTTTTAAAAAAATTTTCCTATATATTCCTATGTACAACTTGGGTCGGCCACTTTTGCCCCACCCTTGCCCCGGGGGTCATGATTTGAACAAACTTGAATCTACACTACCTGAGGATGATTCCACATGAGTTTCATCTTTCCTGGCCTAGCGGTTCTGGAGAAGATTTTTTAAAAATGCCATTAATTTTTAACAAACTCATGATTATCTCCCCTTGGAATAGGGCGTGGCCCTTCATTTGAATAAACTTTAATCCCCTTTACCCAAGTATACTTTGTGCCAAGTTTGTTTGAAATTGGCCCAGTGGTTCTTGAGAAGAAGATGAAAATGTGAAAAGTTTACGCCGACGACAACGACAGACGACGGACAAATTTTGATCAGAAAAGCTCACTTGAGCCTTCGGCTCAGGTGAGCTAAAAATATACGGACATCAGTATCCATAGTAACTATTATAGGCCGACATCAGTATCCATAGTAACTATAACAAAATTGGCCAATGTCAGTCTCCATAACAACTAAAACAGATATGTTGACATTGGTATCCATAGCAAATATGACTTTTTTTGCATCTCTTCACCCTTCGCTATATCATTATACAATTATTGCTGTTTTTTGAGGTCAATACAATGATTTAGCCATCTGAGGAGTACAATATTCACCGAGCCCGAAGGGCGAGGTGAATATGTACTTCGAAGATGGCTAAATCATTGTATTGACCGAAAAAACAGCAATAAGTGTTTTATTATATGATTCACTGATAAAATGATACAGCTCATTACCTGTGTAACAGGAAAGGAGAAAATGCATGGCTGGATCGGGAATCGAACCCGGGACCCCTGTATCTCTAGTCAGGTGCTCTACCAACTGAGCTATCCAGGCCGATATCCACGGACCTTACCATTACATTCCTCCCTCCTTAAAGGTCTTTAACCTCCAAAGACCCCAACCCAGGCTCATTCCTGGCAGATCTTTCACCTGTCAATTCCAGGGCATGGCACGGCACCAAATCTTTAACAGGAAAGGAGAAAATGCATGGCTGGACCGGGAATCGAACCCGGGACCCCTGTATCTCTAGTCAGGTGCTCTACCAACTGAGCTATCCAGGCCGATATCCACGGCCCTAACCATTACACTTGTTTGCATTTTATTAAGTCCTAGCCAAATACAAGAGAGAAGCAGAATTGAAATGTGAATAAACCCTACCTGGTAGTCGTATCAATTTGAAATGTTTTTTTTAAAATCAATTTTAGTTGCCATGAAAGAAATGTATATGTCATTCTTTTTTATAGGATAGATTTTGAAAGGAAGGAGTATTATCAGGAAAAACTGACTGCCAAAAAGTAAAAAAAAATTGTTGTTCAGTAAAAGTGTTGGAGGGGGGGGGGGAGGGTCCCTTCATCCCCTCTTACCACCCTCACCTAAAAAATATATTCACTTATGTTTTGTCCACATGGAAATAAAAATCATAGTCGTTTAAATAGCTTTCTAAAACAATTTGTATCAATTTGGAATTTCCCAATCTAATTTTAGATCAATGTAGAGGAAATAAATCCTTGTATTGACCTGGAACGTCACGTGCAGGTCAATACAACGTAATATTTTTCTAACATAGTTGGATCTCAGCCAATCAGAGAGATGGAAAGTATTCAATCATATAATAAATTATCATATCTTTAAATCTAATTGATCCACTAATTACTCCAAAGCTCGTTAATACTAATGAGATACTGACTTTGAACTAAGCGACAGATCCGGACCGGAGATCCCACTCGATATTTCCCAGATAGGCAATACTCATAAGGAACCCTGGACCAGTGAAGGCCCAGAGTTTTCTAAAAAGAACTTATGACAAGAATTAAATATTTCAGAGTTGATAATCAATTCTGAGTCATTTCATCTGTTAATCTTTTATTTGCAATAACATTTCCCTCATTAAGGTTAAAGGAAGAAGTGGAAAGATATTGCCTTAATTGGGAAGTTGGAGTGGAAGGTGGGGGTGGGGGCAGGGATTAGGTATTGTCAAAAGTTATGTTTAAGAGAAAAAAAAACAGCAAAATAAGTCAAATGGGATATTGTTTACATTTTGTTTATGGATTACATTCTGTATACTGATTGAGTGAGCCTTACCTCTTTATCCTCTGGTATGGGGATTTTGTTGTTGAAGTGATTGAG